TTCTAGAAAGTACCAAGGCTTCACAGAAGATGAAGTGACCGCGGTCCACTTTATTGTAGGTGGCAACTCATCTGCAACCCCACTACTGGAAAATATTATATGACTTTTTTATGTGAAAAGTTGCCAAGCGAGCAGACGGTTCAGCTGATGTTAAGTGAATACCGCCGCCCATGGACATCTGCTACACCCAAGGGTTCCAGATGCGTTGACAACCTTTTGAAAATTGGGCTCCATGAAATGATGAATGTACCTAGTGTTTTTTAGTGTGTGGGTGTGTTCTATATATCTATAATAAGTATTTATTTACAAAATAAATGTTTTTTGCGATATGCCCGTCAGTTACCTAGTACCCATAATACAAGCTTTACTTAGTATGTCCTGAAATGTCTATCTATTATTATTTATTAAATAAAAACACAATTCTACAAAGTTCTGCTTTGGAAAATTGTGTTTTTCGTTTCGGTTCGAAAAGTCGAAATAAGTATTCTAATCACTTCTTTAAAAACAAAGGACGGAGCCCCGTCCAAGGCATCAGAATGCTAATGGAAGCCAGAGTGATGTTAATTAATGACGTAACAGATTAATAACGGGCGCGAGTCAAAAGGCGAGCTACGAGTGTAGCTAGAAGAAGTACAGGGGGAGCCCCGAAATGAGAATGTCACGCGGTAATCGGATGGTCGGGAACCCGAGACAAGACGTTGATAAATAGACGTCAATGCAGCGATAACATCGCGTGTGACAAGTCACGAGCGATTGGGCGTTTTTTAAATTTTATATCAAGTTTTTATAGTGCTAACCTCTGCACATAACATGAAGCGTTTCAAATTTGTAGAAAAATAGACGATTTTTTTTTCACCACAGCTCACTTTATTAAAAGGTGACAAAGCATCTGCAACCCTATAGGTGTTGAGATGTGGGGGGGAGAAAACAAGTAAATATCCTCTCATTCTAAAATAACCTGACTCTTAGATGAGTTTAAAGTGAATTCAAAGTGAGTAGCATTTCCTTTGAAATGATATATAATAAAACGGCAATTATGTTTTGATAAAACGTTTTCATAAAAACATTGAATTTCAATATGTTCCTACATGGGTCATGATAACAATGTATAACTATTATCCTTATTATTATACATTTAGAATTAAATGCAGAATTAAAGAAGTAACTTCTTATCTGATCAGTTAGGTACATTTATAAGGGTTCAACAAACAATTTCTCTCCAATACATTCCCACAAACATGAATTTAAAAGTCGCTGTCACCTATGCTTTGTACACGGCTTTGTCAGGAAGCGATGTCTGGATTACTAATAGGCTCAACAATGATTTTACTGTATCCACTCCGATTAATTGATTGAGATATAACCTCTTTTGTAATATCGTTTTGCTTAAGTAATTAAGTGTCCCTCTTGTGATTCTTCTTGTTTTATTTTATTATTCAATATTTTTAACTCTTAAAATAAAGACAGTCGTAAAAGTAACTTAATTATCAATACTTTAAGCGATTCAGATGCATCATTTGTTTATTTTTACATCCTAAGTTAATTGAGTCGTGTATAGTAGTATAGTTTGTTTTAATAATCTGTTTTGCCGTGGTAAGACCACGCAATACGAGCGACTTCGGCTGTTGCACGAATGGGCAAGCTCGTCCGGGTAAGTACGTCCTCACAGAAAACCGGCGTGTAGTGGAAATGTCATACTTATGCGCATCGTCTGGTGAGTGAGATAGCCGGGGCGCACTTTATTATAAAACGGGAACGCATCTGCGGCTATCACTTAACATCTCTAGCCGAACATTGAACCACCAGCCCGCTTGCCATCTTCTCACATAAAAAGAACCTAGTCAGTATTTGTAATTATTAAATAAAGCATTTGTCTCACCAAATGTTAATCAGCAAAATTAGATAAAAGTCAAGCATAGTCATATTATTTTGTAATAATAGTATTGGAAACAAAACTTCAAAAGACAAATATGAATATTATATTAATAAACATTAACAATTCAATTATGTGTGAATCAGTGACCACGAATGCTGTAAGATGTTCAACACATCTGGGATTAAAATAAAACAAAAAAATAAACAAGTTAAATCGCTAAAATTTGTTTCAGTAAAAAAATATATGTTTAATTAAGTCGATATATGGTGCATATTTCGACAACGTTGTGCATATTGTATCGATTTAATCTTTAAAAACTTTCTTAAACTATGTATATATATGGTAAAAGAAACCATTTTCATTTAAGCGTGCTTAAATAACAAAGCAGCGATGTAAACGCACCGCATCTATTGCGCTTAAAGCCACCTTTGACGTCCCTTCTAATGAAATTTTTATGGCATTTAAAATGTTTAATATTAAGTATTTATGCAAACGAGTTTTTTCGCAAGCGATCCCCGTACATTTGCATTTATTTGAGGCCTCGTTTTGGATGTTCAATGGCACATACGGAGCATAAATATTGTTTCTCCTTCGGCCTTCCCGAAGCGTCCGTTTTGCATAACGCCCCGTGGCCATTTGAATTTGCGCCGAGAATAATGACGCTTTCAATTTTAACGAGTCCGTTTCATATATTTATCGAATGACAAATTCCTTGCGCGAATTTTTTTCCGGCGGACCAGTGACTCAAATGTTTGGTGCTATATGATAAACTACGGTGTTTTTATATTTACTGCGACTTAACGTTATCAACACTATCACTAAATACATGTAATATGTGAATGAATTAATAAACTTAAGAAAATATCACTTTGTCAACTTCGCTTCAAACGTTGTCATTAATTAACATTACTATGTGAAGCGCGTGTAACGTGCGCAAAGAAATAAATCACATTAATTACTCGTCATGCTTTACTCTAATTGCCACAGACGGAGTAGTTGAATATTAATTAAACGTTCATACGAAGCCGTCTAGGTAAATAAACAAACGTACAGACCGCATAGCAACGCTAGAAAAGTGTTACCAGGTGTTACATCTTTAACACCCCTAGTCCTCTTTTCCACCCCTGTGTTACATAGCCCTACATTTTGCTACTGACCTATATGAAAGCGTAGCAACCCCCGCTCCTTCAGGGTTCTTTCAATTATTCAAAGTACTCTCAACTCCTACCCGGTTGGGGTTGCGAAGAACTTTGTAATTCTATATAGTTCGCGGAAGGGTTGTGCACTGGTATGTTAGTGGAGTTATGGTTGTCTTATGTTGCGTTTGGAATCTGAGATTGCTAAGTCGGTTTCAAAATTATAAACGCATATGACATTTTATGATAATTACGTAAGAAAATAGATCACTAAAAAAATTAGCACTATAAAAAAATATTTTTAGCTAAAAAAACAATGTAGAAAAAAGATGTTAAGATTTTCGTCGGTGCGCCAATCAGCCGTTTAGCTTAGTGGCTAAAGCGTCAGGCCGCGAATGCCGAAGACGTGGAGTGTGCCGTTCGATTCTAATATATAAATAAATTTCTAGACTATGAACGTCGCACGTATGTACGTGGCGACGTACCATTCGAAACAGTACTTGTAATTAGAAATACTACAGTGCGAATCAGCAGTGAGATCACGTGGTAGGTTAGGCCCGAAAACTCCTGTACAGAGGAGATCTTTGCCCAGCAGTGGGACATACACACTGCTCTTTTTGCACGACTCGCGATGACATAAATTAAAGATTAGCTCTTGATAACATAACAAAAAATTGTGATTGTAAAAATTGTATACCGCCGTCCTTTGGTCGGGCGGTGTTATTATATACATCAAGTATTCGTTAGTGTCATTAGAATTAAAGGCGCTGACAGCATGCAATATAATGGGCGATAAAATACACTTAAAAAAGTTTTTTGTTACAAAATCCAAAATTAAAACAAAAGTTAATAAATAGAAAAAAAATGAAAAAGGAATTAACAGTAAAAAAAACAATTCAATAAAAGGTATGATTCCTACATGGACTTATAACTATTTAAGTTTTTACAAGGAATCAGGGAGAACAGGAAATTTGTTTGACCAGATTTAAACCAGACGAAAAGAGTTAAAATAAATAAAACAATTTGTGATTATAAAAGTAATTAAGTATTTTCGGAAAATATTTCTTTAGCTTGGCGGCACTATCTGAAAACAAGTCCGTCGTAGAAGTTCTCGAGATGTAATGAATGAATATTCTTTATTGCACACACCATGGTAAAAAGAATACATTAAAAATAACAATTATGTAAGGGTTGTACAAAACGGGTTGTTCAAGGCAACCTTTTATATACATGACATGAAAAGAATATTTTAGGGGTGTTGGTAAAATTCTATAAATTTTATAAGATAAATACATACATAGTGACTGAGCACGTCTCACCTCCAGAGGTAGGGCATTCCATAATTTCGAACCTTGAACCATAAAGGACTTAGCCATAAATTTTGTTTTGTGAGCAGGTATTTTTAATTTCAAATTCTCTGATGATCTCAGAAGATGTGGATAGGATTCGTGAAAAACTCGAAACGTTTCTTTAAATAAAAGGGATACGATGGATTAAACAGAACGTTGTAAAGAAGAGAGAGTATAAATGAGCATTCCGGCGAAGTCGAATGGGTAACCACTTGAGCTTAGAACGTAATTGAACGTAATTGTAATTTTTTATCTCTATCTTTTTATATGGTTACGCGTATACTTCTTTCTCTCTTTCTCTTGTTTCGTATAGACTGTTTTTCACTACTCAAAGCGCACAGCGTATGATAGTACGATTTTATCCTACTGTAGCTTGGTGACTATAATATTCCTATAACTGGAATTCGCTATCAAATTTTACAGCGCGTCGTATAATGGCATTTTAAAAATTAGCAATAACTGATGGAATTTAAACAGTCGACAATTATCACAACGCGTGCCATTTCAATCATTTAACTATGATAAATGTAAATACCTTAAGTATTATTTGATACCAGCTCAATATAAATAGTGCTCTTTCATCATTTCAACAAACAGGAAGCATACATTTCTACAAGGCCAAGCCAAAGATCCTTCAAAATGTTATACCTTCTAAGCATCTTCGTCATGGCCGCAAACGCCGCGTTCGATAACGAGATACACTCGAAATACCTGACCCTACCCCGGATCGAGTTCGTCGAGTACTTCAACAGCTTGAACCTCACATGGACGGCGAGACACTACGGCGAAGACCAACGGACCCACCGGCCCTGCGCTTACATCGATCGCAACGCCACCTATCCGACAGTGCGGCATGACGTCAGCTCCCTTAGCTTGCCCGACAGCTTCGACGCGAGGCAGCAGTGGTCCCAGTGCAGCTCTATCAGCATGATATACAACCAGGAGAACTGCGGCTCCTGCTGGACATTCGGTACGGCTGGCACGGCAAGTGACCGCACCTGCATCCACTCGAACGTCGACGTCCAGCTCTCTGAACAGGACCTGGGCTGTTGCACCAAATGCTACCGGCAGACCGCGTGCGACGGCGGCCAACCCCCGCTCGCCTTCCAGTTCTGGATCGACAGCGGACTGGTCACGAGCGATTGCCTGCCGTACGACATCAACGCACTTGCAAGCAACACCGCCTGCACCAAGACATGCGCAAACGGGAACGACTACAACAGCGACAAGCATTACGGCGGCAGGGTCTACTCGGTGTCGTCGGAAGAGGACCAAATTATGGCCGAGCTGTACAACAACGGGCCAATAGAGACCAGCTTTTACGTGTTCAGCGACTTTAATGATTACAGCCAAGGCGTTTACGTTCACACGTACGGCGAAAAGAGAGGTCTTCACAGTGTACGCGTGATTGGTTACGGCGAGGAGAGCGGCGAGAAGTATTGGTTGGTCGCCAACAGCTGGGGCACCGACAGGGGTGAGAACGGCCTTTACAAAATAAAACGCTTCCAGCCCGAATTGGAGTTCGAAGACAACCTGCTTACCGCTATGCCAAAAGGCTATTAGACGTCTGAAATGTGACAAATGAAATTTTCACATTGATAAATCACCAATAAAGGTCAAAATACAAATCAGAATAATCTATTATGTTCTTTTAATCCAAATACAATAACAGAAACTTGCTCTCAAAAGTGTATCTTAAATTAAGTACAAAATATTAAAATCCATTTCAAAAGTAGACCTGTAAAAGTCTGAGCTTGTGAGATTTAAACAGAAGTTATAGCAATGACTGATAAATACATACTGTAACTGAACCCCCCTCTTTTGCATATATAATTATATAAAATTATATATTTCTGCCCCATTACATGAATAAATCATATAACATCATTACGTGACCAGGATAAATTATTGATCTTTCTATATGATCTTTCAAAAGATAATAATTAGCCGTATAAAATATTATTGTGATCGTCATATTCGGTAGGACCTCATTTACGTTGTGTTTATTTAGTAACTTGATTCTTTTAGGTGTATCTTGGATAGATAATTATTCACTAGTCGTGGTATAAGCCAGAGATAATGTTAGATTGCTTTCTTATTAACTAATCCCGACTCGCTTGAGACGGGCTCAGAGTATATAGTATACTCCCTCTCATGCTTGTAAAGGGCTCACATATAATTTTAAATTAATATCCCTTCTCTCTTGAAGAGGGCTCACATCAAATTTACATACCCGATACAAGTCAACAGGTCCCCCACATTTTAAAAAAATGTAGGGAAGGCACACGGCTCCAATGAAAACACTCAGCAACGCCGTGTGCGGTGAGCGCCAACCAACATATTGCGCCCCCCCCCCCCCCCCCCCGTTAGATATAGCCATAGTTGTGATTTTTATGTTTAGCCATCAGAAAGGTTTATAATTGGCAACATATAATTATTTGTCAGTGTCTCTGACGTTGAGTATAATGTATTTTCGATTAAGTTTGTCTCACCCACCAGCAAGTTGCCATTATTCGTTCGAACGGTGGGAACTTTACTGAGATTCGTTAATTATGTTAAAACGTATACAGGAGGTCAGACAGTCTGCAGTTCCGTCATCAGGAACCCAACTTGGACAAATCTACTGAGATGTGCATCAAACCGAGACACACAACCGAGACCGTCATTATGAATAGCGTCGTCTCCCAAGCAAATGTCGTAAGACGCAATGTCACTAAATGCAACATGCATCAATACAACTATCGCAGGTCAACACGCCAACATACAGCCTATCCGCATACACAGCAGACATCATCACCTCGAACCTCCGTCAACCAGAATCATACGATGCAATGATATTAGGCGCAGATCACCCCACAACTACCACAAGACGCATTACCGCATATAGCCGCACGCATCAATGTGACTATCGCGTAGGTGGCACACCCTCACACCACACCAATACAACTCCAATCAACTTCGGCTCCAAAGTTTAGAATATACTCGGAACACCCGAAGTGTCCAAACATACTCTTTCACGATCCGAATGATAGTCGACGTATCATAGCGTAAACACTAAGACGCCAACCACCAACGGACCCCCACCCAAGCCAAGTAATATCCAGCCAACGTATCATAGTGGAATACACTAAGACGCAAGCCACCACCAGACTCCCCAAAGTCAGATGATCAGTCGACGTATCATAATGCAACACACTAAGACGCCAACTACCACCAAACTCTTACTATGCCGAATGGCAGCCAACGTTTCATAGTGATGGTCACTAAAACGCCAACTACCACCCGCTATCGATGATATGTCCCCTACTCAAGACATATCCATTCATGGTTCCACGTTTACCGTAGACCATGTCGTCGTACAGAAGTACCACGCAAATCCATAGTAATATCTCTTATAAAGTCCCAAGTCATTCATTGCTCTTCATTATATTTATATATTTATTATTTTTTCTCTGAGCCTTCACATATTATCACTTTTATTCATTAGACCTTACTTCCATATGATCTTGGTATGGGACGTTCATACAATGTACTTTCACCATAGTACTAAGAGTCGCGTTCGACCTCTGTACTTATATATGTACGATCATACAATTGTGTCCCCGCACGGTACATAATACTTCCCTTAGAAATCACTAAGTATGGAATTGTATTTAATTGGCATAATAGTGATCGTATCTTGCTATATTTTTAATAAATATCCTTTTTTGAGTATTTTAAGTGATTTTTAACTATTTTTTATCAATTTTTGCTAATCTCATTTTCTCATACTAACACTTATATTTCTTAAATTTAAGTATATATTATTAACTTTTATTGTGACTAAACGTTCTTAAACGTTTTACTTTCATCTTAATTGATCTTTATTATGACTAATTAATAATAATATTTATTATTATTAATAGGTCGTTACAATACGTATACAATGATTAACATTGTTAGCAAGAGTATTACGCCCAAAACATTATATTTTAATAAACCTAGGGAACCAAGCAAAGGTTAACCAAAACAGGCTCCGGAAACCTCACCAAAACAGTATTGGTAAATCCAGTTCAATATAGGAGCACATGTCAGATCAAAGCTCCGCAAAAAGAAGTATTACGAAACAAATTTTCATTATCCTACTACGAGAGTGGTTACTTTCATTAAATCAAGAATTTCATCCTTGAAATATTAATCAAAGTAGCATAAAAGATTTTCCATTAAAGCTTGTCACCTTCACACAGTTTTAGAGACTACGAATGTCCTTCAAAATGTATGTTTTAAACCGGCAAAGAATACAGATATTGTACAAGTTAAATTCAATGTATATTTATAAGAAATGTTAGCTCTCATTTTCGCTATTGCTTCTGAACACATTAAATTAAAATGTACACGTGCCTGTATGCAGCTCTTTGTGATAGTTATCGCAGCCTTGCTTGAATGTCAAGGATGAAAATGGTTTGTTCCATATGCGACTGGAGCCTTTCTAGTAGTATTTAATGAATTTCTACTTTCACAGCGTCGAAAATTAGTGATTCGTTTCAACTTACATTTATTTACAGGACAATTTGATCCCATTGAATGGTATGCAACCTATATGCAACAAAATGATCGGCTGTTGTAATAAAAAATTTGATCTTGTAAAATAGCTCGATGTTGATACTTCTAAACAAAAAAGCAGAAAATGTAAATAGACCAACATTATTTACATTGTATGTTGATATTGTTCTGTCAACTACAAAATTAACTTCAGGATCATTTATAAGCGGCAAAAGTTTATAACAGGCAAAAATAACCACGTCACATTTGCGATATAATGTTACTAAACGCAATAGCCAACCACCGATATAATGGAACTTAATAATCTTGATAACAAAAAGGATAAAATTTCAGTATCAGGCTAAATTCGTAAGCTTATTAATTCCATGGTTATAATTAAACTTACAGAATCTTATAACCGTGCTACCTTTATAACTTTCGTAATCTTCTAATTTTCACTACCAGATAATTGTGCCATAAATAGCCTAGTTAAAAGTGACTGTTAAATTCTATATAAGTTATAATCAAATGAGCCGTGATAGCTCAGTGTCGGGTGCTCGCCTTTAATTCAATATACTCGAGCAACCTGAGTTCGATCTCCGGTGCCGGCACCAATGAAATTGTTTATTTTAAGTGCTGAATTATCAAGTGGTCAGCGTTGAAGGAAAACATCGTGAGGAAACCTGCAAATTTTCGAAGTATTAACAAAAAAAAAATTTCGAGGATATATGAAGTCCGCCAAACCGCAGTGAGGCCGCGTGGTGGACTATGTCCTGATACCCTCTGTACTGAGGAGGCCTTTGCCCAGCAGTGGGACATGTATAGGCTGATACTTTACTTTTGTTAAACAAATGTTTAATAAAGAGTAAAGGCTATTGACTTGTGCTCCACTGACGGCCGTGAGCTTTCTTTTAACAGAAGATATTATTACGTGCCGACAGTACGACTCTATGGTAAACTAACGCATTTTTTTTTTGTTAGAAGGTCACTATCGAGCAAGCGGTTCACCTGATGTTAAGTGATAAAATTTCTTATTATTTCTTCTTTTGAAATGATCATATTCGTTTATTATATCCTATTATATGTTTTAATGTGTAAGGCCTCGCAACAGCTCGTCTGCTAAATTAACGCGGTTTCTTAGAAAACCGGCCTTAACTGAAAGTATTGTATTTTCCCGCTTCAGTTGATGAGTGAGGCTGCCGAGATCCATCCTTTAAAACCTTAGCAATATATCTTCTCATGTAAAAATACGCAAGTATCCGAATTTGAACTGAGGTAACTGACTTTATAAGCGCCGCAGGCACTGAACCACCTCGAATCTTCTGTGTTGAAAATAATTATAAATAAACTATTTCTATTGCATTAGAGGAGTCGTGTAAGGAACAAACCGTTCTCAATGCCAGAGCTATTGCCAAGGCCAAGGTCACACCGCACAGCGTGATCTCAAGATATCCATTTAGACTGGAATAGTTCAAGGTTTATCTTTACAGCCACAAAGAGATGGAAAATTTATGAAAGACTCCTCGGAAAATGAAAGAGAAATTACGTACAACATTGACCTTCTACGCCAGATATTTTATCTCAGAGTAAGTTTCTTCGATGATATGAATGGAACGGAATTTTCTGGAACATATTGCTGGATTCATCTCAAGGAGAAACACGAAGTAACTTTAAGAATCCTTCTATAAAGGTGTGTTTAAGTTTTATTAATTTCGTTGTAAATTACAAACAAGATCAGCTATATATATGTTACTAAGCCGCATTAAGTAATTTAAATGAAATCTACATAGATACGAAAAGGAATAATATTTATATCCATCCCTAAGCATATTGCGTACTTAAATTTGTGTGATTTTTTAATAAGTTATATCTATAACAACTATCTTTAATGAAATAATTCATAAAATTGATTCATACCGTCACTATGAAACCAAAATAGTCTGCGATTAAACTGTCCCACAGAACAGATTAAAAATCTTTAATATGACAGATTTATAGAAGGATTCTCTTGAAAAATATTAAGATTTTAATGAATTACA